TAGTGAGGCAGTGAGGTGGTGAGAATTAGCTTAGGAACACTGGTACGTGAAAGTGGACACACCTTTGCAAAACTGCTGATTCCTGGCACAAACAATTAAGATCCACATCAAAAAAGGAATGATTGATGAGAACAACATCCGTGACGCCGCGGAGCAGTACTTCACCTTGCTCAAAGCCAAGTGGACCAGATCACAGTTCGACAATTCCTAAAAAAATATGCAAGTGCAAAGTGCAATTATGGTGCAATTGAGAGCAGTGCATTGCCTGATGATTGGTAATATTGATTAAGGTTCTCTGTGCTAGAAAGCCACCAGGAGGCATAAAGGGTTAGAGGGTAAGGTTGGTGCAAGTAAGGATGAGATGGAGTCGATTATCCTCATCAATCTGGAGCAAGCATCAGCTGTGGACATGGACAAGAAAGACCTTCAGAGTAAGATTTTCACCACAAAACCAAACATCATTAAAACAAATATTAATAGTGAATAGGCCTGAGCTAGTGCTTGATGCAGGATAGAACATGGATTTTGCAGAAACAAGGAATAGGACAGAGGATAGTGCAGGCATGTGCTCAGCCCTGCTATATTCCTGGCAAATACCCAGGCGTGATTTTGCACATCTTGTAAGTTAAACCAGTGCCTGCTCAGAGGCTTGGGATTTTTCAGGGAATAGCACAGGATAACACAGCTTGTGCATTATTACAGTGCAGAATAGTACACAGGATAATTTGGCTCTGAACGCAGTGAATGTATCTTTCACGTTTCCCCCTCATCCCTATTTGGACTGCTGCTTCTTCCCATTCTAGCCAGTTAGTCATCATCCCCACTTCCCCTCATCCTCCTGCCCCTCTGGGCTTCGCCCCCCTTACCTCCTTTTAGATGTACCACAGGTTCAGCCCTATGACCTTCGGTACCGCTCCGCTTCTGTCATCCCTTTGTTCCCATTCAGATGTCATCGTTCCGATTCGGATCCCCTTTGTTTCCTTGTGCTTTCACCCTCTCCATTATATATATCAGCACTTGTACATACTCATTTTAGGCCTTAGTCTAAAATTGACCTGAAATGCCCCCTAGAGACTTCCTGCTTGCTGCCTATGAAATTAAGGACCAAATGGACAAACAGCAATGGCACAGCACTCCACTTGAGTCGCTGAGGCCAAGGTCCCTCCTTGCTAAATCTCCGGTTCCCCTCTGGAATTGTCTGCCCTTGCCCAGTTCTAACACTGAGCTACCCACTGAGACCTCACACATACAGACTTGTGTTCTTTGACAGTAAGTTAAGAGCCACACACCAGCATACTGAATGTTGGCACAGTGCTCTGCTCTGAGTCACTGAGGCCAAGGCTACTCCACTCATGCTCTCACTCCATCCTCAACATCATTTGCCAATTGAACATGCAGATTGGTCATGAATACATATGTGAGGAAAATTCGGATCAGTGTTATTTAGGCAAAGTGTAGCTGTGCTGTTCCATGTCCTGCCACCACACTTGCTGTAGCTCATCACACCACTCCTGTACTCCTCTTTTCAGCTCCTCCTGATCCATTTCTAGCTCCTCCTGCTCCACCAGCAGCTGCAGCTGGCCCACCAGCTGTGGCTGCCGCTCCACCAGCTGTGGCTGCCGTTGCAACTGCTGCAGCAACTGCTGCAGCTGCTGCTGCTGCCACTGCCTCTGCCACTGCCGCTGCCGCTGCTGCTGCCGCTGCCACTGCTGCAGCAGCAGCTGCTGCAGCTGCTGCTGCCACTGCCGCTGCCACTGCCACTGCCACAGCCGCTGCCTCTGCTGCCACAGCCGCTGCCACCACTGGATGTCACTAAGCCAGGAAAGCCTTGAATAGGCATCATGCACAACAGGCTGAATGTGGGCTAAGCAGCTAGCTTCCTATCTTAAAGGTTAATGTTAAGAACCTGATGTAAACAGCATGATCATTTACCATGAAGAGAAGAGTTTCCTTTGATCCTTGAACAATATGATCCACTTTCCCAATCACCTGTAGGACTTTCATCCATTGCAGTAAAACTCCCCCTTCAACTCCACCACCTTGACCAGTGAACTTCTCCAGTGTATCCCTGACTTCTTCATCAACTGACTGCAGCTTGCATAGATGGGATGTCCAAAAGCAGCATGCATACTGCACTTCCTCCTTAACTACTGAAGTGGGCCTGACACTTAGATCCTTCATGTCCACCTTGAGTGAACTCCCTGGTCCTAGTTCAGCAATGAGAAGGTTCAGGCAACGAAGAGCCATCCACCGCTCATGCTTCTCCACATCACCCCTGAGCTGAGGATTCTTGCATCGCTGCAAGACAAAATCAGGAAAGGAAGGGTGGTAGACTTCAACTCTGTCTTCTACATGTGGTGGTAGTGGCACAATGGATTGGATGCGTGTAAGCAGTGACTTGGGATTGGAGACCTCAGTGAAAGCACCCAGCCCTTTCAGGGTCAATGGATCCTTGAGCAGGACAATGGTCTGTAGAAGACAATGGAGCTCCACAAGCCTGTCTTGTCTGCCTGTGTTGAGGATTTTGGCAACACAGGCAGACAAAACAGTTTCATATAGCCTATCAAGCTCAGCATGGGGACCCACATCGGCTTCCTGACTGCCTTTCAAGATGGAGTCCAGTTGATAAACAGGACCCTCATCATCATCATTTATGAACTTGATGGCAGTGGCAGCCCAGATGAAAAGCTGGCCAGCTTTCCCCACAAGAGCTGAGATCATACCTGGAAAAGGCCACCCATCTGGAAGATTCCCAAATCGTTTACAAATAGACTGGAGTCCATCCCGAAGATACAACTCAATGTCATGTGAACTATCAGCTTCATGAATCACAATCTTGTCAACATGGTCAAGATCCGTAGTGATATGGGATTCTGGTCGGCTTGTGATGAGGATGCGGAGACCAGTGCCAGAGCAGCCAGGGGTGCCAGAGCAGCCAGTGATGAAAGGGCAGCCAGAGCAGCCAAGGATGTGGTGGAGCAACTCTTTTGCTCCATCTCGTTCACACTCATCTAGGGCATCAATTATCAGGAAGAGGGGTTCGGAGAGTTTGAGGTCTTTCAGGGGGGTAAAGAGGAGCGAGGAATATTGGGTGGCAAGGGAGGCATCATAAAGCTTGTCATCCTTCTTCAATGCCTCTGCGACAGCGGCACCGAATTTCGGAAGTTTCTTGGCAAAGTCCCGCACGATCGTCCCAAGGAAGCGCTTCGCGTTGGACAACTCGTCCTCTTGACGGACAAAGAAGAAGGTTGATCCAAGGAGGTCAGACTCATACTCCGCAATGGTGCGCGCAATAGTCGACTTGCCGATCCCAGCTAGACCATTCAACCACAACACTGGCTTTGTTGTATCACTGATAGAGTGGTGCAACCATTGATTAACCTCCTTAATGATTTTCTTTCGCGTTCCGGGAAAACACTTAGACGGAGCACCAGGCCGGTTGGTGTCATAGCCAGCCTTGGAAGTATATGGAAGCCTGTTGAGAAGAGACTCTAACTGCTTCGCTTCTTCAGCCGAGGCTTCGTCGCGTTTGTGCGCCTGGAAATAGTCAGCACCTATGATGCGTACACTGGGGCCGAAAAACTACCTTAATCTCCTCGATCCCCTCGCGAAGTTGCTAGGGTATTGGTCAGTTTGGTACTCTGAGAAAGCCAGTGCAAGCTGTACCGTACCTCAATCTGTAAGTAATGTCGGACCCCTTGTGCAACCTATGTCCATAGATTAGCGCTTCCAGTGTGATACATAAAGTAGCGGAAGGATATCTACATTAAAGGCCGCTACAGCATCGCGTATCCTTCCCCCAGCCTTCCCCACCTCAGCTGTGATTTGTTGATGATTCGCCCATCGGTAGACACCGTTCTTGTCCTTGTACGATTCCAAAGGCGAAGTGGCCGACACGAATTCACTGAAAGGGACAGTCAGAATACTCTGACTCTGAGAAACACTTAGGATATCTGAACATACCCCGATAAAGCGTCGATGGCTTCGCTTAGCTCCGAAGGAACAGAGGGTTTCCCCCCGTATTTTTCAAGCGGCTTCGATACTGACTGGTTGAAGAATCTGACGGTGTCCTCAAGCTGACGAATCGCATCCACATTTGCGCCGACTGTCTGTGAGGGAAACTATTAGCGTTACGTCCCCGCCGCGGCGGCTACAGAACCTACGTCCAACTGGCGAACTATTTCAAGGAAGCCTCCGATCGCGCTCTCGAGCCCAGGAACAGGGACACTATCTAGACTTGCTTGGGCAATACGCAGCACGCCCAGAACACCGTTCCAAACGGTACTGAAACCCGCATTACTTGAGGGTGCCGCTGCCACTTCAGGTTCGGCTACCACTGCGGGTGCAGGTGCGGGTGTCACTATTGACTCAACAGAGGAAGGCCGTGGTGCGGGTTTAGCATCTAGAACCGGCGACGATGGAGCTCCCTTCGTCGAGAATTTCCCCTTGAATTTTTTGAGGGACTTTCGCATGTTGGACAGACTATAAGGACGATTGACAATGACACGAAAAATCAACACGTTGCAACCTCGTGCACGACACTAAACAGGAAGTTCTTCGCATCCACACAGGCGCCCACCCCGACGGTCTAAATGAGGAGCCAATACATGTGTAAAATACAATCTCGTACTCTGTGACTTGGGTTCAGGGACCGACTGTGGTTTTGAATGTCACCCTGGCTGCGATATGACAGAACTTTGTGCACAGACTCCTGCCAAAGATCGTCTCTCGATCTTCCTCACATATTCATGCTAGCTTCTGACAATACCCAAGTACGATGACAAAGAGGCACATAGAAATCGCGGAATGATAGCTGGGGGGATCCATCTGGCCGTTGCGATGTCTGCTTCAGAGGGAATCTCATCCATCAAAGCCATCTTTGTCTGGTCTCCGAAGTCTGCATCTGCCTGCTCAGGTCAACACCAGACATATCACATTCGCGATCGACGTTTCATGATTCGAAACAATCCTGGCCGCTATTAATCTGGTTCCAGTGACGTCCGCTCGCAGGCGCGCTAATTGCTCCGTCTGACATTCACCATCTTCACTCCACTTAACGGTATGGCCGAGAGAGAGCGGGGCGCACTTAATACACTTTAACGTTCCTGACATTGATTGCGTCACGGATGTCATCATAGGACCGAGCGGCAGCGCTGCTCCGCCGCTTGCCCCACCACATCACGATTAGGGACTGACATCGTCACCCTATCGTCTTGGATCTCACGCGCTATCCCTGGTCCTCTGATGTCGTGCGCAGGCATATTGCCTGTTCATCCTAATGTCTCCCCCACATCCCCGCATACCCACAAACCATTCTCAGAGTCACCACACTCACACCCGGGCTCCCTCTGAATACAACCTCCTTATCATTCATATCCAAGTGAGTGTGCATGACTTCTGCGTCTCTCTCATCGTGATCAGTTAGACAAAAGCGACTAATCGTTGGGGTATCCAAAGTAGATTGCATTGAGCATTCCAATCCAAATAAACTAAAACCATCGGCGGTGGGTATACACTCGACTCGTCAAGGAAAAACAATTTCGAGTGACCCACACACCAGTGAACAACTCGAACAGATTAACAAATACGGAGAAAAGGGAGAGTAGGGCAACTAGGTCGGAAGCATAGAATGACGCCATCAAGTGTGACGGGAAGGAAACCACTTTAGAGAAGTCATGATAGACGCACGAACCTATGGGATGGAAGATACAATAGAGTCGAGTTGTAAGACGAACTCGAATATAAAGCGAGAGGAAGGATCCTCGGATGGATAATACCCGTGTCTCTGACGAGTGGAAGGGAAACGCGAGGGGAAAGTGATGAGGGTTTTCCTTCCGCAAGTCTGTTGCGGAGGAACATTAAAATGATACAGTGCAGATGTTGCGCAGTGGACACGCAACCGGAGAACGAAGGACGAGCTCATCTGCTAGTGATACAGTAATTTAGGAAATTTTGAGCTTGATAATACAATGCCGTTCGTGCTTGTCGTAATGTTCATGCTCTTGCTTCGTGGGTGCGGTGTCGTGATGCAATATATGAAGGACTTCAGCGCGAGAGATCGCATAAAATCCATGCCATACCTCCATGGAAAGAAAAAAAAGAGATAAGGGATTGAGGGTCGAAAAGTCAAAGATGGATGGATACGATATCCCATCGAAAATCGATAAGATACGACGCGATTAGTCGTCAACATCCTTGAAGTCAGTTCGCAGGGTATGATAGGCAGCTTTACGAGATCTCCCTTCTAGAAATGAAGCAACTTGGCTGGAGAACATTAAAACTAGGTGTCAACTTGGGAGACCGCAACCCTGCCGGATTCGAGCTAGGTATCGTCGGAGATGCAATAGAAGTTGATGACGATGACACAGAAGAACCGCCCTGCTGTAGATTGGGAAGTCGTTTCTTCGCGTGGAAAACACCCAAATGAACTCGCACGGAAAACAGATCCGTGCAGACTCTGCACAGCTCGATCCAAAATCAAAAGTAGATGGTTTGAATATGTCGATTTAAGTGATTACGAAGTAAGGAGAGGCGAAGCAGAATATCACGTATAATAAAACAAATAAAAATAAAAGAAATGATAACTTACACCTGCTGTGTCTGCTGTTCAACATCGCTCCCAAACACATCGCATTCCCCTCCTCATTGAGATCAAGGACCCAAGTTCTGCCGGGCGAGACGGATCCATTGACGTCCGCCTATCATGACTAAATAATGAAGATCGCCTATTACAGCAGTAGTAGCCGATGGATGAGATGAACAGTGGTGCCCTAGTATAGTCTCTTCTTCGTCATGGGAGGTAGTAGTGAAAGGAGAGGCGGAATCAGGGAGCAAGTAAGTGGGCAATGCAATTCTAGGCGAAGCCGTCCCCCCATACATCCACGCGCCGGGGCCGTTCAAACTGGGTGGTAGGAGCAGACATGAGAGATGAAGATGCTGGGGAAGATGTGGATGTGGATGGTGTGTAGCGCGAGTATATATGAGGCGTCAGAGGACGAGAAGGAGAGAAGGAGAATACAGAGATGATCGTTCCGAGTCGATCGATGTCCTCCTTGATGAGACTCTCTCACTGATTGTCCACGTCCACGTTATTCTGTCTTGATGCTGGTTGTATAGGGATAAGAATGGAATAAGTAAGAGCTCTCCGATGGCGAAATGAGATAGGAGAGGAATGGATGGACTTGTTGAAAGTGGAAATGTTTTATTTACGGGGAGAGGTAAGTCAAAGATGAGATGGTGATGTATACACGGTTGTAGCCATTGCTGTGTAGCCGGGAGAGGCCAGAAGCCTGATATGCCCTATGTTAAGAAGGGAATGGGGAGTGAAGGAGCGCGGCGGTGGGATTGTGCACACAACGACGAGTATATACATATACGTATACGTAGTATATAACTGGTGGACGCCGCCTGACGCGGCAGAAGTCTAAGCCCACAAGACCCGCTACAGAGTAGCGGGAATTACAATCAGACGTAAAGATGACTTGATAGCTCTATTCCAATAGAGGCTAGTAACTTGCCTACTTGATATGTAGCGGGGAAGGACCGCTGACGAGTACTTTCGCTAACACGGCTTAGCTTGTTACTTGTTTAGGGTGAGGAGTGGCGAGTGAGCTCATAGGGTCGATGACGTGACGCCCGCGTAATGAACGAGCGTTACGTGTCTCGAGTGCGGTGCAGCGAGTTTGAAATGTGATGCGTCTTCATTCATCGAAGCGCCACGCTTCCTAGGATAGTACAGCCAGGTGATAAGAAGAAGTCGGTTTCATGGTTTTCAGTGACCCACATGATTTCTCCGAGGTTTTCGGAGGCAACGTACTTGAGTTGGCTAGACCTCGGAGAAATTATGTGGGGTGCGTGGTGGCAGTTTGTACGTAAGTTAATTAAATTTACGTCTTATTTTTCGTCGGAACCGAAATGGACCACTGATCGAAACTGAACGGCGAAGGCGGCGAAACCAGCCGGGTCCCGCATTCCGTGCCCATTCAATTGGGTCGCCAACTCCTTCCACCATTCAGTCGTCCAAACCAAAATAATATTTATACGGGAATTTCTGACATCTGCAACTGTAGTTGGTTCCTCCGACTGCGATAGACTCCATCCATATCCATCGATTCCTCATGAGTACTCCAATGGACGTTGACCCGAAAGGCGGGGCTGCCACAGACGATCCGCAAACGTTCAATAGTCGTGTCATCCAGGCGATCGATGACTACGGCACTCAAGCTTTCGAAGGAGTTCAGGCACTACCCAAATTGCTACAAATATTGCTTTCAACTTTTCTACCCACTGGTACCAACGTTCCTGATGAGGAGGCATGTGGTAAATATATTTGGGTTACCCCAAGTTTATCGTCCAAGCTTGCCGAAGCATACCGCGACAACTCTTTCTTCGAGTTGTTGTATGATGGTAGGTTATGTTCGCTCTGTGGTGGTATTATCGTGTACATGATTTCATTACTAGTTGATATGCGGCCTCTAATGGGTCTTAACCGTCATCAGAGTGGCGGGCTTCCAACCAATCGTAGTGTTCGTGGTAAGCGCCTCTTCATCTTGAGCTCCTCATCTGCCTGACAAGTTGCATCAGGTCTTCAGTCAGCATTTCAAGAACCCTACCGAGGAAAGGCGCACAAACTGCTTATCAAGGTATTGAACAAGTATTGGCAGTCGAGCGTCGGGATCGAACCAAGTCAGAGACCATACAATTGGTCTCTATCAGTCATCCAGTCTTCGGTTATGGGGAAATCCAGAATGGTCAATGAAGCCGCGCTCTCCGTATTTACGATTCCAATCAATATTCGTGAGGAGCTGGGCCCTAATCTCAAAAGTGCGCAATAATCCATCGTGAATCCCATATTTGCGATCGATGATGATAATTTTTACCGCTAGCCTATCCCCCTCCGGACAGGCAGTTTCGCGACTATTTTCACGGACACGACGTAAAAAGCGATATTCGGCTGCAGGCAGAGTATGCAATTCTATTGAGCGTGCTGTTCACAAAGGCTGCCGAACTCCTTGAGAAACCCATTTTCAAACATGAAACAGGAGCGGCGCTAGCGAGCCAATGGGCTGATTATCTCGATGATGGACAGACTGATATCGAAGCTGGTACGAATAGGAACGAGTTTCTGGATTCTGTGGCGAATCGGGCATACCAGGTGACGTCTTGAGGCCTTAATAATTGCCGCCACATGCTGAGTTTTCTTGGGAAGCTTCAATTAGTGGAGCTAGGCCTTCTACAGCAAGATCAAAAAACAGCCCAAACGAAACTGGACGACTCCATAAACCGAATGCAGGACTCGTGCCGCAAGTTTGTCAAGGCCATCTCTAGTTACGAAGGGAGAGCAAAAGAAGTCAAATGCATCGTTTATTTTGACGAAGCTCACCAGCTTACCGAACCCGTCCCACCGGGAAGGAAGACCGACGCAAGGAGTCGCTCACCCTATCACAACCTTGGCATAGTGCTATCTGAGCTAATCAATTTCCCCGTTTTCTTCATTTTCTTATCTACAAGTTCTCATCTCCAGAAATTCGCTCCCTCGCCTGCCAGCCATCCCTCAGTTCGCATTGCTCAGGGCCTCCGCCATTTCCCTCCTTTCACCGAGCTGCCGTTCGACATCTTTGTGGGCGAAGTATTCGAAACTTTGAAAAGCCAAGGGAAAAATTTCAGCCTTGAAAACGTGGGCCAAACGAGTGTGATGGCAGGATTCGGACGGGCCCTGTAGGTGCCCACTATATCTGTGGCAAATTCGACTAAATTCGTAATAGATGGTATGTCCACCACAAAGCCTGGTTGGACCATCAAGGATTTCCCGTTATATCGTTCGCTGGAGAGAAACTGTTCGCGCAAGGGAACAAAGCGCGAGTATTCCACTCTTTCATCGCTGCTCTGGGGGTTCGCATCGGGATAGCCTTCGACATTACAGCTCAAGCCTCGAAGACCATGGAATCAGAACTCGTCGAATCGCACATGCGTGTTGTTTATGCCATCCCCGAGCATCGTGAGTTTACGCATGCCGGATCGCCCTCTGAGCCTATACTGGCTGAGGCAGCAGCGAGGCGTCTGAATGGCCCTTCAGATGGCAACGGAATAGAAATTCAAGGCCCAGAAATTCTAGCTCAGGCTTGCACGAAGGGACTTGTTGCGAAGGGAGAGCGTGGGCAAATCTGCGGTCGACTTCTTGTGACCATTGCACACGATATCGCCGTCCGACAAAAGTACTCTTTGCCAGATCTTTACTCACCTGACCCACATTTCCATCGACCTGTCCATGTCCTCGACTTTCTCAGGGCTCTGTTTGCGAAGCAATTCGAAACTGTGATATTGAAGGCCAACTCGGTGACGGCCAGGGAGGGTATCCCTAATTTGGAAACAGCATTTGCGAATGCTTACATCTTTTTTTCCCATTTCGCTCTGGCCAAAAATTCTGAGATGCTCTCTGCTCGAAACTTGGCGGTAGCTCTACTGCGTGGCATGGCTCTGCAAGCCAAAGATCATCAGGAGTCGATCGATGCCGTTATCCCTGTTCATATGGGCGACCCAACCGAGTCTATCTCGCCGGCATCGACATCAGCGATTAACTTGCAATTCAGGAACCGGAAAGAGGCCAAATATTGCCGCGTACCTCGCCAGATCACTGTTCCAGATGAAAAGGTGGCAGTAATATCCATGATTTTCGAGTTTGGAGCCAGGAAGATAGGAGAGCCTGGACTTGTGACCGTTACTAAAGACATACCTCACGACGCTTGCAGCTCTGCCAGCAAATTACACAGGGACGACCATCACCAGACTCGAACCCAGCCGTCTCCGCTCCGTGGACGCGCAAAATGTTAGAAAATAATGAAGTCTCCTTTGTATTACGATTCAAAAGTCACGTTCTAAGTCACGTTCTCTGGACAAATCCGCACCGCATTAATCAATAAATAATATTGTCAATACAAATAACAAGTCACATGTAACGGGGTTAAAGCATTCATCTCCGATCATCTACTCCGAAAACCAGCACCGCGACACTTCGCTACGACGACTGGCACACTATGGCAGTGGCGATGCTCTCCGGCAAAACCCGAAACAACTCTTGGATCTCAAAAAGGAATCTCTTAGAAGCGCCGAACCCCCCCCCCTACTCCTTCACCATCTTCCACACCATGGACTCGCCCGCAGATCATGCAATGAATGTAATTAGTTGCATGTTAACTAATGGGTTCACCCTTATGTCTTTTCTGTCAACAATCTTGACCTCCCGGGGCTTTGGTGATAAATTACGAGAAATTCAGGTCCAGATTCTCAATCCTAAGCCTGAGCCAGGCACAGCGATTGTCAGAGACTGGATCCTTACAAGCGCTGAAGCGATTTACATGGAAGAAATACAAGTACTTATGGAAAAGGAGAGCGGGCTTCACATGAATGCTGCCCACCTTCACCCGGCACAGCTTGAAGACGGAAAAATTAGCACACTGAAGTCATTATTCGAATCTAAGGCACCAGCAACTTGGGCCCTGATCAACCACTTACTTACTGTGGAAAGCAAAACACGGGCAAGGCGATGGGCAAAGCCGGCACCTCCAAGCGCTGAGATGGGCAGTAGGAAAAATGGGGACAATGATGGAGATCATATTAGTGCGGGAAGGCAGTTGAAGGGGAGTTATAATTACTCAGAGAGACATTATGCTCCACTCCAAATCGTAAGTCGAAAGATTCTCAATAAGTATGATTGATCACTGACTGTGGAATCAGAAAGGTGTGGTAATCATGTCGATTATCACGAATAGTTGCAATGGTCATTGCAACGCTTTGCAAGTCAAAAATTCCTTCTATTTGGCCGCTTCAAATGCATCAAAATCAGTGTGTGCATGGGCTGCCCACTGCGGACTTGCAGTCTCCCTTTCGGCCAGTGAGAGGCTTCGGATATCTCTGATAATCAATCAGAAGGCCTTGAATAAAAGACTTGGACCCACCTGCGTCACCAACATCGCGTATGACAACTGCGACTTCAAGTTTAGTGTCGGCCAGCCAACGGACCTCAAAGATCGGACATTTGAGAGTATCACGACGGGGCTGTTTTTTGCGCCGCCCAAGGAAGTGCTGCCTCAGCACTTAGAATATGCCCAATGGTTATGGGATACTCACCCAAACAACCCGATGGCCATAAACATCGCACCCACCATCAACCCCACCGACGCAATACTGATGAGTGAAGCCTCATTCAAGTTGGCAGAGCATTTTCAGTGGCATATTGCATCGGTATTAATTGAACAGTACTTCCCAGAAATGCGATCACATCTTATCGACCCACCATCGACATTCAGTTTGCCACCACGTAAAACGGAGTTCTCAACAGCAGAAGCTGTGTATGCGAAAGCATCCACCATTGATGGGAACATCGAGGCAATAACATCGCTTCTTGATCAAAGCGGTATTGCGAAAGGAGTGTTTGAGAAATATGTCGTCCTTATTCATGGGGATCTTGGGACGATGGAGAAGATCGAGGCGATCTTGAACTCGCGGCAGATTGAAGAAGATGTGTTCGAACGAATGCACTATCTTCTACCTATACCAGGACTCTTTCATGTCAGAATGGCATGTGTCGATGCAATAAATAGGATTTATGCAACAGGGGATGGCTTACGAAGTGACCCGAATGGGCTTTACAAGCACCTATGCTTGCTTTTCCCAAATGACCTTTCCAAATTGAACAAACCAGTCCCACCTTTTCGGATGCTGAATGACGGATTACACTATGTTACACAGTGTATGATTCTTGATGCGTGGGCAGAGAGTTTGGGAGGCGACATCAAAGGATTTGTGACTTCCGAGCCGACCTTGGAAAAGATCAACCAACATGCGGAGGAAATCACAAGGGCGCACTTTGGATCCAAACGAAATAACGTTATGAATCAGGAAGATCGAGATCAAAGAAGGGAGAACCAACTCACATTCAACCGAGATGCGATGTACTACCGCATCCTCGTGCATGCAATGAACTATGGAATGGTTGACGTAATAATCGATGTCCTTGCATTCTGGGTTCCACTCTTCCAAGCAAGCGGAAAACATAAATATGCAACATACCTTTCAAGGTTTCTTTCCAGACTGCGACATTACCCACAACCACTCCAAGAAGCTGTTAAGAGGTGCTGGCTGTGTAACCCCTCGGGGAAAAGGGGGGGATTTCGGGCAATCGACTGGCAAGTGGAATTGATGAATCTTTACACGAAGGTGCGAGTGAAATGAATGATGATTTGGATCTACTTATCGTGGTACATGCATCTAGGTTGTCTACTCAGGCACAGGATCTGGAAAAACAATAGAATACATCGTTAGTCAATCATCAATAATTCAGGCTTATCGGACGTGCATTGAAGATGTTGAGGAAGATTACCACATACCTGACAAGACCCTTCGCCATGCAACTCCTGACATAGAATCCAGATTGGTCGCTATTCAACATGAACTTCGTAACCTTCGACCTCACAAATATGTAAAGGGACGCGCCTCACGTACTTTAATAGAAGACCACATTCAGAAGGGTCTTGAACTATTCCAACGTGGCACAACGCGGGGGTCAAGCAACATGAATCAACTGGAATCAATGGATGAGACCTATGAGACTTACGAAATTGAGGCAGATGACTTGGCAGTTTGACGATGTGGGACAGTCATGTCGGAGCGAGTGGCGGAGTTTTCCTTATTTGGACAGCGCTTCTCTAAAACAACGAGTATATATCGTGTTTGTATATAGGAGCATGTATTACTTACTGGGATGACCTGGCTGGTTACAAGCCTTGCACCGCTCAGGGCAAGTACAAGCTAGCAGAGAAACAATGAGTGTTAAACATGTCAGAGTAGTTAAGGATTCTCACCATTGTGGCTGTGGTTGCCACAGTTACCACACTTTTTCGTGCGAAGGGGAAGTACAGTCCCAGTTTCCGTTAAGGTGGAAGGCCAAGTGGGTGGTTGAGGCTGAGCAGGTGGTGATGCGGGAAGGGGAAAAACTCTAAGAATTATGGGTAACAACACAGAGGCATAGCGCCCTCGCTCCTCCCAGTCAATGAGTTGTGTAAAGTCTCGGAGAGTTGACAGCCGGTTGAAGTTCGCATGGTACACAATATCATCAATGATTGAGTCCCCAAGTACTGCCCAATCGCCTATCCACAAGTTGTCTTGATGTCCGGGATAACGGTGAGAAAACTCAGCTTTTCTCCAGTCCTTAAGGGCACGGCCGAGCTGAGCAGAGCGCTTGACATCCTTTATGTAGTCAGGTTTCACATGCTGAGGGTGCCACTTGGAGGGCGGCTCTGCGAGTTCCTGGTGGAACATGGGGGCGGCAAGACTAGGGGTATGGAGATCGCAACAAGTCACGGGCTTGTGCAAATCACAGCGTTTACAACACGAACGCGGTTTCGCTGACATAAGAACTGAGTTCTGAGTTGGCACATGCAAATGACATAACCTCAATACATACAGATGCGGTCATTACCGAAGTGTACCTCAAGCACTTTCCTGCGGCATCCATGGCGAGGGTCGTCTTTCGGAAGCCATTGGGCATTGATGAAGGCATCCAATCCAGGGTCAACGTTCTCACGGTCCCCTGGATTTCTTCTGCGAGTCTTCTTTTCCTTGGGTGCCTTCAAATGTGGTGTCGTGCCAAGCAACTTCGTGCTGAGGCGAGTATCAATGTGTAGATCTTGGGGCAGATCACCATGCCTAGCTGCTTTGACCCGTGGCCATTGAGGTTAGTATTGACATCTAGTTTTTGGTGCGGGTCACTTACTCACTTGTCCACTTGCCACGGCTTCGAAACTATCGTCACCCTCCCACATCCACCCCAACCCATCAACATCTTTCTCAGCGTCATCAATTAGTGCTTCAAGATCAGCCAACATCAAGTCACCCCACTCTTCCCGCTCCCTCCCAGGGTTGGGAAGTTCTTCCTCCTTGTCATTGACGCCGATTTCATCAGGGCCAATGTCACTAGTAGGCCATACGTCAATCCTCGGTGGCAATGCTGGATCTGGATGATGCAGTTTAAGTAACTGATCATCAAACTCTTGGTTTTCGGTGGGAGCGGCAACATCAACTTGGCTTTCTGTCGGGAGCTTCTTGTGGCGCTTGTCCCTTTGTCTCTGCTCAGCCGCTGCAGGATTGCTCTTCCGCTTCCGGCTCTCTGCTGACCTCAGAGCCCTCTCCTCTCGCTGGCGACGTGTTGGCTCAAAATAGTCTTTTGGCACGAGAAGAACCACGATGGCTGAAATGTCCGGGTTCCGAGCGGCTCTCCCAAAGCGCTGAGTCAACGTGTTCAAGTTATCTGGTGGACCAAACTGAACCAAACGGGTCACATTCGCTAGATCATGGCCCTGTTTGATCTCAATTAGATATACAACACGAGAGATGCAACAATAATTCAAACCAGTCCCAATGATTCTGTGCTCGTAAGTCCAATGAGTTTCCCTTCTTTAAACAAGTTGACTACCTTCAACTTATGTCCATCAGACATCCCAGAATGAACCCACACAACTTTCTGTTGGAGGGATGCACAAACTCGTGACCTCAGGAAGTTGGCACTGCGCTCCGCGTCGCCCCGGGATTCACAGTACACCAGAAATGGGATCGGAGGGGGATCGGATTCTTTTAGGCCAAGTGGGATAAGGAATCCGAGGTCATTACATGAGTCTTTGCTGTATTTCATTTGGTGGACACAGTAATGGAGGTTTGGACGGTCGTTGGAGCGACGCATCCATTTGGTTGTGTTGCCGCCGTAAGTGCTGTAAAAAGGGTCCAAGCCAATTTCTGACAATAATCTCCTGCACATGCAAGCGTCCAATGTGGCAGAAGTTAGATACCATTGGCATCTGTTCCGGAGGTAGGAATAAAGCCAAGCTAAGTTTTTATATGCTGCTCGGAATGAGAGCCACTGGACTGCACAGTGTGCCTCATCCACGATAATCCGGTTAATTTTCTCTATGAACTCATCATTTATCCACAGGGGTCTGAGCAGATTCCCTCGCAGCAAGTCAGGTCCTAGAATGACAAACCGATATTCTCCTTTTCCGATCTCCTGCTTGATAAATAACATAAACATCATCAAGCACTTATTGGTAAGTACATGCCTTAATGGTTTCTTTGTTTATCGTCATTGCTTCCAGTGCTATTGCAGTGAGCCCTAAGTCCTTGGCACATTGTACATGCTGATCCGCCAGTTTTCTCAGTGGTACAATGATGAAAGAAACTCCCCGATTATGTTTTTCAAAGAGGGCTGGGAGGAAAAAGGTGTAGGTTTTCCCTGTCCCTGTTGCTGCTGTTGATACTAAATTCTGCTTTGGCTTGCGAAGCAGAAACTCTGTGATCTCAGCTTGGAACCAGCAAGCACGTCGGTTCCAAGCTACTTCACTTTTAATCCTTATATGTTCAGCGGATGGTGTCCCAGCATTCATTGCGGGCGAGTCCATGGTGTGGAAGATGGTGAAGGAGTAGGGGGGGGGGGTTCGGCGCTTCTAAGAGATTCCTTTTTGAGATCCAAGAGTTGTTTCGGGTTTTGCCGGAGAGCATCGCCACTGCCATAGTGTGCCAGTCGTCGTAGCGAAGTGTCGCGGTGCTGGTTTTCGGAGTAGATGATCGGAGATGAATGCTTTAACCCCGTTACATGTGACTTGTTATTTGTATTGACAATATTATTTATTGATTAATGCGGTGCGGATTTGTCCAGAGAACATGACTTAGAACGTGACTTTTGAATCGTAATACAAAGGAGACTTCATTATTTTCTAACATTTTGCGCGTCCACGGAGCGGAGACGGCTGGGTTCGAGTCTGGACCATCACTATGAAATTGTCGCTCACGGTTGCATATCGGAGACTTTTGCGGCGATTCCATCGGCTGTTGAGTCACAGTACCAGTCTATCCTCTCGGCTCAGACTATTGTTGAGGACTTTCCTCGGGCAGGAGACGAGGAGTGTTTGCAGGCGTTTGAAAATTTAAAGCCGTTTTTTGATGGCCTTCAAGAACCAGTGAAGTGAAGAAAATGATGAATTGTATGTACGTACATGGTATTGATGACCAAGATCCTAGGAAGATATGTATGACGCAGCAAATCACAGTCGGTAGATGGTATAGGGTTGCCCCGGTACCGGCCCTGCTAGGTAGCCCCATTACTATTTGACGGGGCCAACCATCAGATTTCGAGTGCCGGGACTTCCTATCAGATATGCGCAGTCTGACAGGTACCCCGCCTGTTTTAATAGTGAATCATAATATATTCATGTGGCATGGTACTATATAGCAATACATGCATACACTGGCGCTTGTCATTGCGAGTGTCGGAGAAATAGTGCACCAAGGCTATACGCAGGGTAAACTCCGCACTTGAACAGCCCAAGAGCAAGTCGGTTTGATTGCGGATTTGTTCGGAGAACGTGATTTTTGAATTGTAATACAAAGGGGACTTCTAACATTGTGCAGTTGCGCGTTCACGAAGCGGAGACGGCTGGGTTCGAGTCTGCTACTTGATGACCATTTGACGGTTGAAGATTCTTGGGCCGGCTGCACACACCGTTAGCAGTGCGGTGATCGGGGTCTTCTTCCCGACGCTCACTTCTGTAACTAAGGCCGCAATCAGATCAAGAAGACACAGGTTTTTTATGTTCATGTAATTTCTGAGGGCTGGGTTTCCCTTCCCTTCCGTTTCTCCCCAGTCCTCCAAGCGCGTGCACTCGAGACCAAGGTCGGTGTTCATCGCCTCATGCTATGTTCATAGCTAGTTATAACTACTTGCCAATAGCAGCAGTTCTCCAAAAGTCGCAATGCGATTCTGGAACGTCCTCGCCTTCACAATCCATGTGCTTCCCAGAGCTGCAGCTGATTTTCACGTTGGCTCAGCCCGTTGCACCCTGTCCCTCCCAAATACCGCGGCTCAGGAAGCCGAGTTTGGGGTCATCATCCCGTCGAACCAGGGTGAGCCGAGGCCTATAATCAAATTTGCTCCTGCTTAACCGATTCATTCCCAATAGATGGTTGCGTTGGTGCAACGAGCTCGTACTGGGGTCAGGGCGTACAACTTGGACCTGGAATGACCACCTCGGTTTGCGGTGCTAAGATCACGGTTCTCAACAACCAAACATGGCGCAGCTCGGATGGGGCAACCGGGCTTTGTTATCCGGTCGCGGCCATCACGGCGTGCTCGAATAAACCCTATGAAAATTGCCTATATTCCGATTGGGTGTGGTGCGCGTCGAGCTTGTGCAACTAAGTTGGTCTCAGGATCTGGTGGAGTCGGCACGTTGTGACCCTAGCAAAAATTACTGCGTGTGCGAATGCACTGAGCCCGCCTAGGTCATCGGCATCCGGAAGCCGCGTCAATCGAAGCGCTCGACGCGTTCGTGTTTCATCTCAGTAGTGCTGGAGCGGCTAGCAGTTGTCTAGCAGGCGCTTCCAAGATGTGAGCAATTTCCCCCAGACTCATTCTTGAGAACCTAAAGATCAAGCTACCTTTTCCCGCAGGTTCAAACATGCCCACTCGACAAGACAAATGGACGAGCCCTACTTCTTATCTATCTATTCATGGGCATTTAATTATCGTGTTGGCTGCATTGACAACCGCCCAATAGAACTCTGACGTGATTTGCGGTGTCGTAGCCTCACATAAGGACGTCTGCGTCAGGGCCTCCGAGTATAGGATATCCTGTGTATATGAATCGTCTGCAGTATTTTTGCGAATCAAGCACGAAATGACTCTTTGTTGCAATTCAAGTCATCTGGACATTGTCGAGTTCATGAGTGGATGTTGGCGATGTCATTCGTGCGGGCTTGATTTCAGAGTGGTGTGATGTACCTTCACCGCTATCTAACTGCGGATGGACATGGATTGGTGGGGTTGAAGCTGTCGCTGAATTGGATGGAGGAGCCCCATTTCTTGCTTGAGTTGATGTTGCAGGACTAGCCTACCTTCACTCGAAGGACATCATTCACGGCGATGTCAGACCGGTGCATAATCACTTCATCTGCCATTACGATTTGAGACGCAGAGCAATGCTGTACGTAAAGTCTCCCGATGATGGGCCCCACTGATATTACCTCGAGCGACAATGACGGAATCCTCAGTCAAGCGTTCCACCAGCGCACGCGGTAAGGATCAAGTTCTGCAACGAGACGCATGAAGACACCGCTTGATGCACCGATAACTGCCACCCTGGCCCCTCCAACGCATCATGGCCACATCCCCGGGACTGGACATCGAACAATCGTTACGCTTCCGCAAAAACATATCCAACCTCCTAGCGGAACGGCCCCTCTGCAACATAATAATCAGTTGAGTGCCAGGCCATGAAGACATCAAAGGGAACGAACGCGCAGACACATTGGCCAAAGAAGGATCCAGCCTGCCATCCCTCTACACACCTCAGCAGCATTCATGCGCAATCAATACAAAAGACAATACGGGGGCGACTGGATCTTCCGCTGGAACACAGATCCTATACAGCAGAAAGCGTCAGAATACCGCAGCTGCAACTGCATAGAACCGCACCTCCGACCAACGAAGCGCTTCAAAGCTCGCTCTCGCAAGGCCTTTAGCCGCCTACGCACAGGCCACGCATTCATCGGACAATATTACAACCGCTTCCGCCCGACAGAGGACCCCAGTTGCACCTGCGGGGAAGAAACGAGAAAACACATACTCCTCGAGTGCCCGAAATATGCGACCACTACCGAAGCCTGCTACCAGACAACTGATCCTGGACGACCTCCTGGGGGGGGGGGGAGAGAAAAGAATGGAAGAATTGCAGGATTTCTGGCGGCGAGCGGAGCATATGAGAAACAAAGAGAGACATAATAGGAGAAACCGACACGAACCGAGTTATGACACCGCTGTACGGCGAAACCCATCCCATTTTTCGACACCGTCACCCAAAATCGGCCAGCACAACGCGACAACTCAAAAGCGGAGCAGCATTCGGAGTTAACCTCGTCAGAACGCATGAGAGCACTCGAATCGGACTTAGATTATTATTTTCTCACTTTATTTTCGTGTATTTATTCCAATAAAGTTTGCAGGATAAATATCCAGAATAAACAACAACAACAACGAGCAGTTGTAACCTGATGGATGCAAGCCCATTGCCTCCCCACCCATCATTCCAAGACGAGTCAGTTGCTAGAGCGTACAGCAGATGCCGGGAGCTGGAAAAGACCTTAGCCATGGAGGCCAGGGTGCTGGGATATCTTCTTTTGCTTGCTCCTGAAGAAGAGGGTCGGCGATACCTGGCATCTGAGATCAATCCTGATCCAGTGGATGATTCTGGCAATAAAACAGATGACAGTGTTGTTCGTGGCGATGAGACCCTTTGTTTGTTGGCAAAACTTTATATTGCTGCCTTCATCCGTTGTTGTATGTTCTCCATCTCTCATTCATTCGGCTTCACTCGAATGATGAGTCTGATAACAAGTCAGGTCCGCAAAAGGGCCAACGCCGGACCCCTCGCTTCATCCTAGTCACATCTCTTTCGAAGGCAATGTTGTTGAACTTTCCTACAAACTTATGGAGCCGCCTTCTTCCCATCAGATGGCAAAGCATAAGGTGTGGCATTACTATGACATTACTCATCCGACGGTAGATGTATATGGTTTCAGGCTATACGGAGAGATGGTGGTCGTTGTGTTGCAACGGGCAAATATGATCTTCTAACGGCTCAATCTGACGCATCTTCTCTGGAGTTCAAAATCCCACCTGATGCGCCATGCTGTATGACGGAGGCTGCTCTCATATTTCCATCGTCGATCAATCGAAATATTGCAGGAGGGAATGAGGGTGCCGCAAAGGTGGGTCCAACCAACAACCCACAATTCGACTCCCGAACCCACTGGTTTTTAGAATGATTGGGCAGCGTCTGTTTGGGCAGTCATGGAGCATTTTGGTAATGTTCGAGTTTTAGACGAACTGAATGGGGATAATATACATCGATTGGAGAATGTGCTCACGCTTTCTCATGACATCCATTCTGCATTTGATCAGCTCAAGTTTTGGTTCGAAGCCACGGTCAGTGCACTTGATGTTCATCTAGTTGTGTTAGAATATGATCACACTTGTTAGAATGCCAATGCAAATGAGTATCGCCTGAGGACCCTGTGGTCCAGGCTGATGGTCGACAAGGATACAATAGTTACCTTGACAACGCCTGACCCACAGTGTCTTCCCCTCCCTTCACCTAAATATCTTGCATTGCATGCTGCATGCTGTAAGGTCGCCCATCTCTCTGGAGCAGCTGAGCACATTGACAGATGCTTTAGGGATTTGGATGGAATGAGAGTGTTGGCAGAAGATGGGTCGAATGTAGATGTTTTGATGTTTGTGTTGGAGGGTATCACTGTATGAGTGTTGTGTGTCACACCAACTGAATCTCTTGCTATACAGTCATTTGCCTCCGAAATTCACACACAGTAAACCTAACTACACCACCCAGTGGTTGAAGCAGGAGGTCATGTGCTAGAAAAAAAAGATTTGGAGAATGAGAAATTTGTTTCAAAACCAGCTGAAGGTACCAGGAGCAGTGAAATTTTTAAAGTTATTTCATGAATTGATGCGGGGGGGGGGGATTTTTCCAAGTTAAATTCTGAAATCAAGCGCGCGGTTTTGATCAAAATAACAGAGTCGATCTGCACTGTGACAGACCCAGATCACACCCAAGTGCATCCTATGTACATGTCCCACCCAAATACAAATTAGCTACAATTACATGAATGTTGACACTGATGAGTGCATGAATTCTTGCCTCACAGTTTGGAGGGAGAGGGATTTATACATGGCCATCGCTCAGTGATGAACCAAGGAAAAGAGGAGAACATTGGAGGTGAGTGGATGCTGAGGGAAGATCAGTGGGAAGGAGGAATTGGTCAAGAATGTCAGTGGTGATGAGTATGTTGATGGGCATCAATAAATAGTGGACACATTCAGCCATCAGTGCTAAGCAGGGAAGGTTGGTGGGAAGGCCAAGAACATTGAGGGTGTCAAGTGTGTTGAAGGAGTGATAAATCTGAATATTGATATGTTGATAAGTGCAGAGCCTGAGCAATGTACAAATGGTAGCAGTAAATATGGCAGACATTGGGGGTGGTATGACAGCTGAGAGGTTGATATTAAGTTTGGTGGTAAAGTGTGTACTGAGATTGTCATTTTTCTTGTGTAGTCTTTGGCCATGTCCTTCCTGGGTGAAAGGTTTTGCTTACTTGTTTGGGGATGGTAACGTTCTGTTCCCCTGTTCGCCTCAGGCCTCAGATATTCTGTCTAAATATAAGCTTTAATGTGCTGTATATTCAACGGGGTTGTCAGAGACCAGGGTCGAGATGAAGGAGTGTCTCTGTAACGGAGGGCTTCGGCCTCAGCGACTTCTGCCAAGAGCGCTGTGCCTAGTGACACGTCCGTGCCCTAACTTACTGACTGGCAATTAGAACCTAGGGGGGGGTAACTCTGGTTGATTTTACTACTCGGGTGTAACCTATGTACAAGTGGGATATATATATGGTTACAGCGGGGACGGGTCCGCAATTGGCGGAGCCAAACGGAGCGGAGCTAACGGGGTTTAACCATTAGCCGACTGAATATTACCAACGAGTCGGTTCGCGGGGTTAGCGGAAAGGCAGGCGTTAACCCAGAAACAGAAAGGAGGGATAGGCCTGAAGGTGGGCTCTGCAGGGCAGGTGAGTGTATTGCCCAGCGGAGGCGGAGGTGCGCTAGCGGATGTCGGAGCTGTCCGGAAGTCTTCGGGGCTCCGTACTTAGGGAGGCGTAGGTAATAAATTGAAATGAGGGGGTGGTGACCATCGAGGGGTACCGAGAGGATTGCGGAATACGGGGGCTCCGAGGTTAGTGAGGGAGGAGTGGAGTTGGAACGGAGGGATCGGAGGAACCGGAAGTCGATGGCTGGGGATGGATATGACAGGGGTAGAGGTAAAAGGCTACTGGGCCTTTACAACTACTCCGAGGTATATATATGTAAATTACATATCTCAGCACAAATAAATAAAGAAGTAACAGTGTCACTATAATTGGAATTATAGTGAAGTAAGGTTAATCCCTTACACTGGGCATGCTTCATGAAGACTTACAGCTTTGACATAATTGCAGAGCACAGGTGCCACACCCAAGAATAAGGGGGTTGAAGTAATGGCCTTTGCCCATTTGGAACTACCAAGCTGTGAGGTCTCAGGGGGGTTGCTCAGCACACCAGACTGTAAGTGATACAATGGTGTGTAATATTACGATGGTGTTAAGCGATGACCGGAAGTTGCTGCTTAGCCATGTGACTCTATGTACACCATTGTTATATCAGACTTGGGGTTCAGGGCTATTGCCCTGACATTCTCCCCCTTTGCATTGCATATGTGACACATACATGGGTTTTTTTAAAGAAGGAATAAATGAATTCAAAGTGAAAAATATTGTTTTTAAAGAAAGTTTATTATTGCCACTTTAAAGTGGGTGATGTAAGGGGTTGGTGTAGGTTCCAACCCCAGTTAGCCTCAGTCCTCAGTTCGTCGAATATTAAGCTGTATAGAGCTATGATTATTCAACGATGGGGAGGAAAAAAGCTTAGTTGCCTTTTCCCAAATTCCCACATTATTGTAATTACATTGTTTGTACATGTTTAATGCAAGACAAATGAACAATAAGATAAGAAAGTAAAGGGTGGGGTTACCACTCCTTACAGGTGATGTGTACATTTAGGAAGGATGGGAAATGAGGAGGAAGAAGGAAAAAATTGAAGGGGTGTGGGGCTGTTACTTTAAAGTAAACAGCAATACACAGATATCACGGGAAAGAGAGGAAAAAAATGGAAGTTTTGAAAATAGATTTCAACCCAAAGATTATATCTCTGGTATTCCTCCTCACTTGTTCTGTGAGCAGTCATGTGTAAGTGGTGTTTACACATGGGTGGTGGTGGATGTGGGTTATATGGAGTAGAAGTTTCCACAATTGTTACTTGCATACAATATTGTGTGCAGGGCCTCGAGTTGGGGGAGGGTGTTTTCATGGGCACCTCAATGGCATATTACCATGTCACTTTCCCTTTCTTTGAGGGTAGAGTTATTGCCCTGGAGGAGGGTTTTCCTCTGGGTTGTTCATCTGGACATCCAATTGCTGCATTGGATGCAATGATGTTGAAGGAGGGAAAAGCCGGTAGTACCCTGACACCGCTATATCATGGCCTACAGACATTACCTAGTGCCTGACACACAGTACCCCAGTCCCCCAAAGCTCGTTGAACCTCCCCTATCATTGTTGTATTTTTTGATATTTTTTCAGACCAGGTTATGGCCCACCCGGACATGTTACTGGGCCGCTTTCCCAGTAATTTCGCCATATCTCCCCCGGTTCTTCTCCGATCCGGACGCACTTGGTATCGTTGGAAAGCTATCATCAAGACGAGTAGAACGAGTCCAGTATCGGGAGATTTGGTGCCGCCGTTGTGGAGATCGTCGGAATTTATCGATTGTGTGGCCGTTCCTATATATTTTTCATGTTTTCTGTTGTTTTCTTTGTTCTGTGTTGTTCCATCCGCTTCTGTCCATCCCTAACACCGTTGGATTGCTCGGACTTTAGTTCGGATGACCATGGTTTATATACAACATGTATCTAGTATGATACAGAGATTCTCTGCTCTGCTAAGTACTAGGTCCGTGTGCCTGGGGTGGTGTCTGAGTGCTTGTAGTCTTGGGGATGGTGCTTTGCAGGCAGTACTGCTAGCTTGTCTTCCAGGGAGGTCCACCTAGTGTGTTGATTTTGTGGCTGAGTTAGTCGGGACCAGGGTCACAGTGAGTCCGAAACCCTAGGTGCCCTTTCCACCCCCCCCTTCTTCTTTCCCTTTGGTGAGGGAGCAGCTGTGAGAGTGGCGACACAACCCTTGACTGTGGTCTAGCCATTCTCCCCACTTGCAACGTAGCCTGGGCTACATTGTTGAGCTGTAGACTTGATGAAATGGGCGCTTCCTGGGTGGGAGCAGGTTGTTGTGTTCCTGAGCCACTTGGCTCAGGTGTAGAGTATGGTAAGTTTACCATTCTTCCCATGGGGAAGGATGGTCGCTGGCTTGTCTGTCCAGCATGGAGACTTGTGTCTCTCTCCCAGTATTTGGAAGCTTTCGCTTCCTGCCCCATTGTCATGGCCATGCATTCTGGCCTGTTAGCCGCCCATCCTGATGCTGCCTGAGCCCATTCCCGCTATGCGAGCATGAGCGCAAGCCCTGACCTCAGCCCTATCCTCCATGAGGACTCCCTGCTCACTTCCCTGCTTGCCCCTAGGCTCCCCTGCACCTGGCCGACTCCCCCACAGCCACACCAACCTTCCTGCCCTGAGTCCGCCTCCGGCACCGCACCGAGCGTGACTCCTCTACCCTGCCCACTTGGCCCCTACAGGGCCACTACCATTCCCACGCCCAACTCCGGCCCAACTCTGAGTCCAGCACCGCTACAATACCATTGCTGCTATCGCGGCCCTACGCTCCTTCCTTTATTTATCTGTTATTGTTTGTTTTGACCCTCGGTCATTGCCGGCTGCTATGCGGCCAACCCCGCTCCTTATTCATGTTTGCTTCGGCCTTCGGCCCGGGTCTGCTTCCATTCATTCTTTCCTCCTATATATATCCTGTATGATACTTTATTGTACCTTACCTCTAATATCGATATGACCATGACCTCTCAAGTCCTGACCCCAGCAAGGCAACCCCAGTAAGTCTGAAATGAGGGCCAAGAGACAGCTAGGGGGCACAGCGCTCCTTTAGAGTTGCTGAGGCCAAATGCCCTACCCTCGGGCCTTGTTCACGGCATCACGGCCATCGCGGCCTATAGCAGCCTGCAACGGCGACCTTCAGTGCCGACCCTGGACCAGTGTCTAACACCCATGGCTTTTGCGGTGCGTTCCTCAGGAGTCCTGAGTCGTTTGAACTGGGACTTCACATAGGCAGCTTTGCCTAGACTTTCCCAGGAGATTTTCCCCCTGTTCTCTGGGGAGTTGTAATCCTCCGCAAGTTTTGTGATACTCGGGAGTTCCAAGGAATATTTCTTGGTTTCCTTCGCTTTTTTGTGAAGGACTTTGTGTACCTTGCCACTTTTAAAGGCAGCTTCGGCCTGTTCATACCATTGTATGAATGCTTTTCCACTCACACTTGTCCACCAAGCATATGCAGCATCATGCACCACTTCTGACCCTGCTGTTCTCCTCATGGGGAAGTTGGGGTTGATTGTTACGTCGACAGGAGCTTCAACTTTGCTGAACTCATTAAGTTCGGTGGTCTCATATAACATGTGGACACTTCCCTGCAGGGTAGCTTGCCCATAGGGTGCTGAGGTACTCAGCGGCCTGCCACCTCTGGCAGTGGCCCCCGCT